TCAGGAAGGTGTTGGCATGGAATCCTGCCAAGCTGAGCAGGATTTGACCCCTGCTCATCAGCTTTCTGTCTTGGCTGCAGACACCTGTTCCCTGCACACCTGTATGTGTGCATAAGCAAGGGAGGATTTAATTCAGCCCTCTTGCCCATCAACTAAAATCGTAACTGTTGACAGGCAGGTGGATATGGCTTGGAAAATGGCTTCGCATGCCAAACAGAAACCTCTGGTGAGTCAAAATTAATCCATCTTTTTAAAGTTTTACATAGTTGGATAACTAATTTAATCAAACCAACATACAACTTACAGGTTTACATTTGAGCTTGAGTAAAAATGCAGCCTTTTACCATATACAAAGGCAGTGGTTTTCACAGAAACTTCAGATACATAAAAAAAAACCCTGAAACAAATTTGCTTTAGCTGGAACCTAGACTTAAGATATGAAAAGGAACAGAAAAGGGGTCCTCTGCCAAAATTCAAATGATGGTTTTTCGATGCTTACCTATTTATGTTCAAGACAGATTTGTTCTGGAGGAGCAATACTTCTTGGACAAGCTTAATGTTCGTACTACGTACCTTGGTTTACAGTTCAAGGTGCTTTTGCAAAACAGGTTTTACACTTAGGGAATTTTTGAAAAACCAGGCCGGCAACAGTGCTGAACCTGCCTCTGGAACTTTCTAGCTTAGACAGCTGTTCCTCTTTCCAAGTTCTGTTTAATCTCTGCAGTATATTTCCCATAGAACCTCTCAGCCTTCTTGTTGAACTTGGCATTTCTCTCATTAATGTAGTCAATATCTGCATCATCGTTGTATGATCGTCTCCGGCTGTATTTTTCACGTTTTTGGATTCTGGAAGGAAAATTAATGCAGTGAGACTGTGCCTAATGCAAACATCTGTTCAAGGACGATTTTTCTTTTTTTGCGCCACTATTTCAGCTTCAAATGCTCAAAGAAATTTAAATAAGAAAGTCAACAGAATTAAATAACAGAATTAAAGCCAATTAAGAGTCAAATTGTCAAAAAAACCAAATAGCAGGAGACTATTTAAAAGACCTGACTATTTAAAAGACCTGACTACTTTAAAAGACTATTTTAAAATGTTTTTACTTGTCTTTGAAGAAAAAAAAAAGCAGAACAGAGAGACAGATGGAGTTTCAATGGAACGGCCTCCTAGGTTTTGAGGCCATGACTGAAAAAGCTTTGCTACTCATAAGGATGTACCAAATGGCTAAAAAGGGTGGAAGCTGGAGCTGGACTTCATAAACAGATCTCAACATTTGTTTGTGTGTGGTGGGTGGGTGGGTGGGTGGGTGGGTGGCGGTGTCATACAGGACAAGATGCTCACAAAGTTCTTTTAAAAAGCTCCAACATTGTAATTAGCTAATGTTTCATTTGCTTTTGTACTTACTGTTTTTCAAGATCCGAAACCATTCTATCAACGCCTTCTTTACATGGCACATGAGTTCCGTGGAGAAGGCTATTTGAAGTCGGAAATAAATCTTCGCCACTGAATGAGGGGGAAAAACAAACCCAGACACTTTAACCAGTCCTTTACTGACAGTATTAATATACATGTCTTCTAGATTTCATGCCCAGCAAATCTCTAATCAGTTAATGGGGACGAGAGATTTTCCTACTGAAACAAGTACAGTAATACCTCCTTGAACGTCTGCCTTGTCTAGCGTCCATTCAGGCGAACGCCCGTGGCAAACCCAGAAGTACCGGAACAGGTTACTTCCGGGTTTGCTGCTTGCGCAGAAATGCTAAATTGCACTTCGCGCATGCGCAGAAGCGCAAACTGCTCCGTGCGCGCGCGTAAACACAGCACTTTGCCCTGCATCCTTTTCAGCTAGCGGCTAGGGCTACGGAATGGATCCGGGCCGCAAAACGAGGTACAACTGTAGCCAGACATTGTGTATAGATGGGCTTTGAAGACACTCAAACTCAGGGCGCAAGGGAGAAACGTGCTAAGAGGAAGGCACGCTTGGCAAATCCACACCATGATCAACTCCCGCCCAGAAACAAATGTCCCCACTGTGGAAGGGCGTGTGGATCCAGAATTGGCCTCCACAGTCACTTACGGACTCATTGTTAAAACCGTGTTTATGGAAGACAATCTTACTCGGCTACGAGTGATCGCCAAAGAAGAATAAACAGTTGCCTTGACCTTTTGAGGCTTAGCTGGGATCTATCCATTTAGCCACAGCAGGTTCTCTCACAAGGGTCCAGTTGATACAATCACCCAAGTCCAGATGGTCCTGCTGCTCTTTCTCACAGAGCAGTTGCAACCAATTACCCTTTTGCGAGAAGTGGAGGTGCACAGCATGCCTGGCAGCAGCAGCAGCACTGAGTGGAAATGGCAATTCTTTGCTGTCTGCTGCTGCTGCTGCACCTCTACCTCACAAGGCATTAGGAACCGATGGCCTCTGTGAAGTACAAGGGGGAACCCAGCTCCTTCAAGTTATTCTCCAAGGTACCAGAACACTTATGTCTTAAGATGCTGTATTAATTTTTGCATTTGTATGCTTTTTAGAATTGTAAGTCACTCTGACACACTTGATGTAAGTGACAAATAAGTGTTAATAATGCTAATACTAATAATATGGGGCAGACAAAATAAGACTTACCTTTCTTCTCTGAGTTTTTCATATTTCTCCAGGTCAGGTCTGATCTGCTTGGTCAACCTCTGGTACTGGCGTAACTGGGCTGCTGCATAATCTATGAAGTAAAAAAAGAAGAAGTCTATTGTACTACTAAACATAATCACTTGTTAATAAAAGCTCTTGATTTTATTCACACTCAATGGTTGGAACAGATGGGGCCAAACACCTTCTTACCAGAAAATCCAAGATCAGGATTTTTCTTCTTCCTCTTCCTCTCAAATCGTTCGGCATCCTCTGCACTGATTTCCAACAGTTTCACTCTCTCATAATCTTCTCCTTTTGCCACACACTCCTAGCACACAGCAAGAACATATTGATATTTTGAAACGGGTTCTCTTTCAGCACAGTGAACTTTCCCAAGGCTAAATGCGTTCTGCCTGTCAAAATATAACCAAGACTGTACTCCCATGGACAGTTACTGGGGGGATGCACTTTGGCTCCTGCCATTGGTAAGAGGACCTGGGACCACTAGAAGACTGCCCCCTGCCTCCCAAGAATATCATCAAGGGGGAGACCAACCTGACCACATCCATTGGCCAGCGAAGGGACAACTGTTTGCTTACCTTTTTCTTTTCCTCCACTTTTAGTTCCCATTCTAAACGTGCCTTTTTTGCTTCCCAGTTTGTTGGCAATTTCAGCCTTTTATCTTCCTCCACAACCTCCTGGTGATTTAACTTGCGGGCTTCATTCTTTTAAAAAGGAGAAGAAACCAGAAAGATGTTTAGAAAACAGAGTTTAATTTACTACAAGTAAAACAAACATGCTAAAGAAGATCACCCTCTAGGACAGCTGTCTCTAAGTCAGAAATCTTTGATCCACCATATGTTGCTGATCTAAAACTCTCATCGGCTGCAGCCAGCATGGTCAATGACCAGGGATGCTGGAAATTATAGTTTACCAACATCTGGAGGGCTAAAGGTTCCCCACACCTGATTTAAGGCAGCAGAAATTTTCCCAAAGCAAACTGATTTTTTTCTGACTCAAACCTGCATTTTAAAAACCCATTTTAGTGGAGCCCCTAAGCAATTGTTAGGTTGTAAATTCTCATGCTGGCTTACTGCTACATATGCACTCCCTCCAAGCTAACAAGCAGGAACCAGAACTGTTAGCACCAACACCATAATGAGAGATCTCACCCTTTTCAAATGAAGCTCTCTGAATTTCCTAAGTCGCTCCTCTCTCTTCTGTGCAGCCATCTCTTCTGTTGTAATGGAAGCAGGTTCTTCTGATGTGTCAGAAGTAGCCTGAAAAGTCACCCACATGTTAGAAAAGAAAGATCTGCTTTTGAGATTAAGTGCTTAGTATATGAATATAAGGAACGGTTATACTCTCAGCACCATGGAAAAGATATATTAAGACATATAAAAAGCATTAAGCATGCCCATTTCCACAAGAACAATGTAAGACCACAGAAGCTTTCAAGCTATGTCCTTAGAAAGCCTTCCTTAGCAGTAACAACAACAAAAGAGAAAGCTCAATGATGATATTTATAACACACCTCACCTATCATGTTAGGCAGACTGAAAAATAGAGAAAGTGATCAAGACCCCCCAAACACAAGAGCACAAGAAAAAGCAAAATCCATGAAAATAGCCCCCAGTGCTGGCAATGCATATTCAGTTGCAACAAGGCATCTTGGAATGGTCATGATGCCACATACATTACAGTGTTCCCAACACAGACCTGCTCCTGCTGTCCACATTAAGGCAGCTATGGAAAAGCTTTTAGAGAAGCTGCGGAAAAGATCAAACTGGAATTCTCTACAACATTATTTCACACAGCTCTATTTAGGGTGACATTGCAATTTTTAATTTTTAAGTTACTCCGAGTAATTTGTATGAATCAGAAGCGCAGGCTATAAGCTCTTATAAAAGGAAATCAATAAATGTCCCCTCCCTGACAATGCCAGAGCCATTTCCCGTCCATGCTGTACCTCCTGCAGCAGTGGCAAGAGAGATAAAAGAGAGATTAAAAGATCCGGCTTTCCCCATCCCTCCTGCCTCGGGGTTCCTCAGCACTTCTTCACCTCCAGGTCGATCCCTTTATCTACCATCCCCTCCTCTCAAACCTCTCCCTTCCCCGGTTCAGAGGCGCCCTCAGCCGTGAAGCTTCCTCATCCTTCTCCTTTCTTGGTCGGCCATTTCCTCCCCAACACTCTCCTCTCCTCTTCTCTCACCATCCCAGGCGAAGAAACACCAAGATCCTCTACCGCCGCCATCTTCCTCTTGCCGTGTTCGTAAACACTGAAGCTACTTCCTGGCTTTTCCCTCTCCCTGTTCCGCCTCTCCTAATGACGTAGACGCCTCCTAATGACGTCTAGACTGTAAAAGGAACAAACAGTAAAGGGGAGGGGTACGACAGCGCACGTATTAGGGAAACGCATGCGCAGTCTCTGTCGGCCTCGTGAGCGGCCGCCGCTCGTCGCAGTTGCGCTGCAGCGCCGCCACAAGACTGAGGAAGGAACTGCATAGCAAAAAAGGAAAAAAAGGCGTAAGAGTATGGACTGTATCAGGAAAGGTATGTATAAAGCCAGGGTTACCATATAGGCACAGCAGTCCCACTTCCTGTAATTCAAATCAAGAGACCTATTTAATGAATTAATTTTAAATTCGCTTTTTAAATCCCACTCAAAAGTCAGTACCCATAAAAATCCATTCTCCCCCCGCCAAGCTATGCTTACAAATGAACATGGGATGGCAGTATAGTTCTAAATATTCATCCTCAGAAGTTAATGGAATAGAATTTGATCATTAAGTAGACTGGCCACCTTTTCTTTTAAGCTCTTCTGTGAGCAAGGGCACAGTGCCTCAGAGGAGATGCAGACTGCCTTTCTCATGAAAATATATATATTTTTAATGGACACTGGCCTTTGGTCATGTGCAGTGCTTCCCCCAGAAACCGGCTCTGATTTTGAGCAAATGTAAAGTGGTTTGTCGCTCTGAGAATACACACCGGAACATTTAAGATCATATGCAACTAACTTCTGCTCAGAGTAGACCTATTGAAATTAATGGACCTAAGTTAGCCAAATCCATTCTTTTCAGGGAGTCTACTCTGAGTATGCTGGATACAAGTCATTCTAAATATTTACTTAACCAGTAGACCACTTTTCCGTATCTATATGTTGTTCTAAACATTTAGTTTCCACCAGAGAAATGCCTTTAAGCTCTTCTGTGTAAAGGAAGAAATTGCGCCACAAGAAATATATATTAGAATAAACAGTAGGGGGAGAACAACCCTGGAGGAATACTATTATGGCCTATCCACAACGGCCTCCTTATTCTTGTTGCCCCATAAGAACAGCAAGAAAAGAGATAGATAATCCACACGATAACACTTGACAACATGATGCTGTATGCCTACCTCACTTCAGCACTCTTAGTAATCAATTGTTTAGCAAGTGACCTGTTAATTTATTGATCAATCAACCTAGAGATAGAAAATGAATACAAGTCAACCAAGGAGAAATGTTTAAAGACTTGGGGGGGGGGCATATCCAATGTTAGCCTCATTGAAATCAGTCTCACACTTTACTAACCTGTTGTTCTTGAGGTTGGGCATCGGCGTGGCATTCTGACCAGGCAGGTAGATTTATGTCTACATGGCAATCTTATCAACAAGGTGAAACCAGTACCTGAGTGGCAGGGAGGGAGAATCTGTGGCCCTCCAGATATTGTTGAACTCCAGGTTCCATCAGTCCCAATCAACATGGCCAATAGGGGTGATGGTAATTGTAGTTCAAAAACAACTGGAGAGCCACATCACTCCTATAGGAGATGCTGCAGTTGATGTTTTACTGCTGCTCTCTACTAGGTAATATGAGATATATTCCATTATTAAGTAATTTTATAGACACCTGTCAACAATATACTCTTCCTGGTTAGCTGTTAATTTCAAGGAAGGTTTGGAGAGGGAGAAGTCTCCCTCAAAGAGAGCTGCTCGCTAGTCTTGCTATATCTGTAATTGCATCCTTATACAGACTTTTTTTGTCTCTGGCTTTGAAGCTGATGAGTCAGATTTGGGTTTAGGACCTCTAATTGCTGACCCACATCAGCATCCATGGAAAACCATGACTTGACAAGATTGTACAAGGTGAAGTGAGAAACATTCTGACAAGATGTGAGAGACCCAGCTCAATCATAGCTGTAGTAAGATGGGAATATAGAATGATTCTTTGGAAGTGAGAGCTGGATTATAAAGAAGGCTGATCGCCGAAGAATTGATGCTTTTGAATTATGGTGCTAGAGGAGACTCTTGAGAGTCCCATGGACTGCAAGAAGATCAAACCTATCCATTCTTAAGGAAATCAGCCCTGAGCGCTCACTAGAATGACAGATCCTGAAGCTGAGGCTCCAATACTTTGGCCACCACGTGAGAAGAGAAGACTCCCTGGAAAAGTCCCTGATGTTGGGAAAGATTGAGGGCACAAGGAGAAAGAGGTTTGGAAGAGATTCCTTACTCTCTTGTAGTAGTGTTACACAATTTTACACAATGGGGATTGCTCCAAGCACATTAAAACTTGGGTAGATGTATATCTGCCCTCATCCACCTTTAAACAAATGTTCCCCATCAAAATACTTAGACTAGAATAAATGACAGACACTTAACTTTCCACATAAGTGAATTCTTTACTCACAGAGATTCCCTAAGGTAAATCAAACAAGTCTTCATCTGCTGGCAGTGAAAGAAAGGTGAAAAAGTTTCCAAACAACTGCCAATGAAAAGTACTTGGCTTCCTTACAAAAAGCATCATGCAATATTTTGGCATTTTGGTTAGCAAAAATGCAGTCTATAAAAATTCCCTTTTGGAGAGATTCAGTTCACTTGCAGGGAGCCATAGCCGCATGGCTCCTTCTTTGCTTGTTCCAAGAAGCACAAAGAGGAAAAAAGAATGAGAAATGGGGGAGCAAAGGCAGCTGATAGCTTGCATACCCACTCACTTGAGTTCAGGTCTCAGGTTAACCCTTTCATACAGGCATGTATGAACTGTAAAGGTAAAGGTACCCCTGACCGTTAGGTCCAGTTGCAGACGACTCGGGGGTTGCGCGCTCATCTCGCTCTATAGGCCGAGGTAGCCGCCGTTTGTCCGCAGACAGCTTCCAGGTCATGTGGCCAGCATGACTAAGCCGCTTCTGGCGAACCAGAGCAGCGCACGGAAACGCCGTTTACCTTCCCACCGGAGCAGTACCTATTTATCTACTTGCACTTTGACGTGCTTTTGAACTGCTAGGTGGGCAGGAGCTGGGACTGAACAACGGGAGCTCACCCCGTCAAGGGGATTCGAACCGCCGACCTTCTGATCGGCAAGCCCTAGACTCTGTGGTTTAGACCACAGCGCCACCCGCGTCCCTTGTATGAACTGTAGTAACTGTATATTACAACAAAAGCTTCCTAGCTGTGAGCTTGGTTCAGCAGGGTAATAAAATAATCAGAGTGAACTGGGGAACTTTGAAAGAAATTGCTTGGGAAATGGTTCATTTGCACACAGTGACTGCATTTTGATGTCATGATAAACTATGGTAGGTATGGGGAAGCTGTGGCCATCCAGATATTGCTGGATCAAAACTCTTATCATCCTTGACCATTGGCTATGTTGACTGTGACCGATTGGGGTTGGAGTTCAACAAGATCTGGAGGACTCCAACAAGTTTAATATGACAGGACTGAATCTGTGTGAGCCTCCTCCAGCATGGCTGTGAGGTGGAGCTTGGAATCTTTCACCTCCATCTTTGTTTCACTGTGGCTTGTCATGTTGTTCAAAGCTGACAAAGTGTGGTTAATTATAACTATGGTTCTTTGAACCAATTCAGCTTTGTAAGCCTTATAAGCCATGCTTTGAAAGTGGTTTGATTTAAGCAAACCATAGATATAGATTTAGGTATAACAGCCCCCACTCCCACTGAGCCTAAGGGTATTGTCACAATAAACCACAGTTTGTCATAACGTCCAAATGCAGCTAATCTCAAAAGTAGCCTTGAGCTCCATGACTGAGCAAAGGTGAAGTAAATATCCCTGTGCCTAATGCACCACACAGCCTCCTTAAATCAAAGTTTTAATAAATGTTATGTTGAGTAGAAGTGGTTTTAAAGTGTGTCTAAAATGGTTTTGGTGCTGGTGAATTTTTATGAGGACTTAAGAAAAATTGCAAACCAATGTGGAAATGTGGAGAACTGAACTTAAATTTCAAAAAAATGAGAGCAAGAAATGGAAATTAGCAGATTTGCGTGTCCATAACCCTTTCCTCATTGTTTGGGTGTAATCTTCAATACCTCCCTCTCTATGGAGGCGCAGATTACAGCTATAACAAAGGCGGCATTTTTTCATCTCCGCCAGGCTAGGCAGTTGGCTCCTTATCTCTCTCGCCCTGACCTAGCCACTGTGATCCATGCGATGGTCACCTCCAGACTGGATTATTGTAACTCGCTCTACGTGGGGCTGCCCTTGAGACTGACCCAGAAACTCCAGCGGGTGCAGAATGCCGCGGCGAGACTCCTTACGGGGTCTTCGCTACGAGATCATATCCATCCGGTATTATACCAGCTGCACTGGCTCCCGGTGGAGTACAGGATCAGGTTTAAGGTGCTGGTTTTAACCTTTAAAGCCCTATACGGCCTAGGACCCTCGTACCTACGGGACCGCCTCTCCTGGTATGTCCCACAGAGAAATCTACGGTCTGCAAATAAAAACATCCTAAAGATCCCAGGCCACAGAGAGGTTAGGCTGGCCTCAACTAGAGCCAGGGCCTTCTCGGCCGCGGCTCCAATCTGGTGGAACGCTCTGTCACAAGAGACTAGGGCCCTGCAGGACCTGACATCCTTCCGCAGGGCCTGCAAGACAGAGCTGTTCCACCAGGCCTTTGGTCAGGGCGCAGCCTGACCCCCTCCTCTGGCAATCGGCAATCTGCACAGAATTTTGCTTGATGGTTGCCATTAATTTGACTTTAATTTGATTTGATTAATTTTATAATGAATGTTTTTCCCCTTCATGGATCACTGCCTTGCCATGGCGAAGGGGCTTGAAGAACTCAGAGAAGCTATGAACTACGCCGAGCAGGGCACACAAGATGCACAGGTCATAGTGGAGAGTTTGGACCAAACGTGATCCACCTGGAGGAGGAACCGGCAAGCCACTCCAGTATCCTTGCCAAGAAAACTCCATGGACAAAGACAACAGGCATATAAAAGTTATGACGCTGGAAGATGAGCCCCTCAGGTCGGAAGGCGTCCAACATGCTACTGGGGAAGAGCGGAGGGCAAGTACAAGTAGATCCAGAGCTGATGAAGCGGCTGGGCCAAAGCCGAAAGGACGCTCAGTTGCGGATATGCCTGGAAGCGAAAGGAAAGTCCAATGCTGTAAAGAAAAATATTGCATAGGAACCTGGAATGTAAGAACCATGAACCTGGGTAAGTTGGAGGTGGTCAAAAATGAGATGGCAAGAATAAATATTGACATCCTGGGCATCAGTGAACTAAAATGGACGGGAATGGGCGAATTCAGTTCGGATGACCATCACATCTACTACTGTGGGCAAGAAACCCGTAAAAGAAATGGAGTGGCCCTCATAGTCAACAAAAGAGTGGCGAAAGCTGTACTGGGATGCAATCTCAAAAATGATAGAATGATCTCGATACGAATCCAAGGCAGACCTTTTAACATCACAGTAATCCAAGTTTATGCACCAACTACTGGTGCTGAAGAAACTGAAATTGACCAATTCTATGAAGACTTACAACACCTTATAGAAGTGACACCAAAGAAGGATGTTCTTCTCATTATAGGGGATTGGAATGCTAAAGTAGGGAGGCAAGAGATAAAAGGAACAACTGGCAAGTTTGGCCTTGGAGATCAAAACGAAGCAGGGCAAAGGCTAATAGAGTTCTGTCAAGAGAACAAGCTGGTCATCACAAACACGCTTTTCCAACAACACAAGAGACGACTCTACACATGGACATCACCAGATGGGCAGCATCGAAATCAGATTGATTATATTCTCTGCAGCCAAAGATGGAGAAGCTCTATACAGTCAGCAAAAACAAGACCTGGAGCTGACTGTGGCTCAGATCATCAGCTTCTTATAGCAAAATTCAAGCTTAAACTGAAGAAAGTAGGAAAAACCACTGGGCCGGTAAGATACAATCTAAGTCAAATCCCTTATGAATACACAGTGGAAGTAAGGAACAGGTTTAAGGATTTAGATTTGGTGGACAGAGTGCCTGAAGAACTATGGATGGAGGCTCGTAACATTGTACAGCAGGCAGCAACGAAAACCATCCCAATGAAAAGGAAATGCAAGAAAGCAAAGTGGCTGTCCAACGAGGCCTTACAAATAGCGGAGGAGAGAAGGCAAGCAAAATGCGAGGGAGATAGTGAAAGATACAGGAAATTGAATGCAGATTTCCAAAGAATAGCAAGGAGAGACAAGAAGGCCTTCTTAAACGAGCAATGCAAACAAATAGAGGAAAACAACAGAATGGGAAGAACCAGAGATCTGTTCAAGAAAATTGGAGATATGAAAGGAACATTTCGTACAAAGATTACCATAATAAAGGACAAAAGTGGTAAGGACCTAACAGAAGCAGAAGACATCAAGAAGAGGTGGCAAGAATACACAGAAGAATTATACCAGAAAGATATGGATGTCTCGTACACCCCAGGTAGTGTGGTTGCTGACCTTGAGCCAGACATCCTGGAGAGTGAAGTCAAATGGGCCTTAGAAAGCACTGCAAATAACAAGGCCAGTGGAAGTGATGGTATTCCAGCTGAACTATTTAAAATTTTAAAAGATGATGCTGTTAAGGTGCTACACTCAATATGCCAGCAAATTTGGAAAACTCAGCAGTGGCCAGAAGATTGGAGAAGATCAGTCTACATCCCAATCCCAAAGAAGGGCAGTGCCAAAGAATGCTCCAACTACCGCACAATTGCACTCATCTCACACGCTAGCAAGGTTATGCTTAAAATTCTACAAGGAAGGCTCAAGCAGTATGTGGATCGAGAACTCCCAGAAGTGCAAGCTGGATTTAGAAGAGGCAGAGGAACCAGAGACCAAATTGCAAACATGCGCTGGATTATGGAGAAAGCTAGAGAGTTCCAGAAAGACATCTACTTCTGCTTCATTGACTATGCAAAAGCCTTTGACTGTGTCGACCACAGCAAACTATGGCAAGTTCTTAAAGAAATGGGAGTGCCTGATCACCTCATCTGTCTCCTGAGAAATCTCTATGTGGGACAAGAAGCTACAGTTAGAACTGGATATGGAACAACTGATTGGTTCAAAATTGGGAAAGGAGTACGACAAGGCTGTATTTTGTCTCCCTGCTTATTTAATTTATATGCAGAATACATCATGCGAAAGGCTGGGCTGGATGAATCCCAAGCTGGAATTAAGATTGCCGGAAGAAATATCAACAACCTCAGATATGCAGATGACACAACCTTGATGGCAGAAAGTGAGGAGGAATTAAAGAACCTTTTAATGAGGGTGAAAGAGGAGAGCGCAAAATATGGTCTGAAGCTCAACATCAAAAAAACGAAGATCATGGCCACTGGTCCCATCACCTCCTGGCAAATAGAAGGGGAAGAAATGGAGGCAGTGAGAGATTTTACTTTCTTGGGCTCCATGATCACTGCAGATGGTGACAGCAGCCACGAAATTAAAAGACGCCTCCTTCTTGGGAGAAGGGCAATGACAGGCCTAGACAGCATCTTGAGAAGTAGAGACGTCACCTTGCCAACAAAGGTCCGTATAGTTAAAGCCATGGTTTTCCCAGTAGTGATGTATGGAAGTGAGAGCTGGACCATAAAGAAGGCTGATCGCCGAAGAATTGATGCTTTTGAATTATGGTGCTGGAGAAGACTCTTGAGAGTCCCATGGACTGCAAGAAGATCAAACGCATCCATTCTTAAGGAAATCAGCCCTGAGTGCTCACTGGAAGGACAGATCGTGAAGCTGAGGCTCCAGTACTTTGGCCACCTCATGAGAAGAGAAGACTCCCTGGAGAAGACACTGATGCTGGGAAAGATGGAGGGCACAAGGAGAAGGGGGCGACAGAGGACGAGATGGTTGGATAGTGTTTTCGAGGTTACCAGCATGAGTCTGACCAAACTGCGGGAAGTAGTGGAGGACAGAGGTGCCTGGCGTGCTCTGGTCCATGGGGTCACGAAGAGTCGGACACGACTAAACGACTAAACAACAACAACAACAACATAATGAATGTTTTAGAATGTTGTTAGCCGCCCTGAGCCCAGCTTCGGCAGGGGAGGGCGGGATATAAATAAAATTTATTATTATTATTATTTTACACTTTCATTTAGGGTCAACAAGATAAAAGGGGCATTGGATTGCTTTCACTGGCTTTCTTAATCCTAAAGAACTTTGAGAAGAGAGCAAGTGAAAATTGTGAGTAGAAATAAATATCTACCTATTTTTTGGGGGGGAGGGGTGTCAATACCTCTTTAAATTACATCCTGACTCCCCCCCCCCCCCGTTGGACTGCAATTATAATCATTCAAAGCCCACAGACACATAATCGTTTGGCCGGGGAGCAAAAAGACCCTGACTGATGCGCTTAACAAAAATTAACCTGGTTACAGTGGTACTCTGTTGAAAATGAGAAAGTGCAGGGGATCAAAATCAATGCCTTCACAGCCAAATGACTGCAGGACTGGCTTTGAATTTCAGCTAAATGCCCTTAAAATGATGATCTTAATTGCATTATATTAAAGCCCCTGATCAGATAGTTCAGATGATGATAATCTATCATATTGGATGTGGATGGCAAGGGGGAAAGGGGAGATGATATCTCTTATGCAGAGGTTGGCTCAGGACCTCCATGCGCTGCCCAGAGCTTCCCAAGCCTAGGTTACCCATGTCCATCTTGTTTCATCATCCCTGATCATTGGCAGTCTTGGGTGTTGGGGCTGTTGGTAGCTGGGGTCCAACAACATCAGGAGGGCCCCAAGTTCTCCATCCCTGCATAGCCTCACACAGAGCTTGCAGGCATCCCCCACACAAGAAACTTAGAGAACACATTGTGCCTGGAACAGCTTTGGACCCATTTATTAACTTGTAGCATTGTGTGATTATTTGCACGTGTGAATTGACCATTTATAGATAGCTTATTATACAGCTTTGATTGAAATACAGTGGATTTTTCTTAGCAGTACAGAGGAACCTCGTGTTACGTACCGTCCTCCTTATGAATGCTTCTGGTTACGAGTTCCGCTAACCTGGAAGTAGATGCTCCTGGTTGCGAACTTTGCCCCAGGATGCGAGCGGAAGTCGCGTGCCGGCGGCGTAGCAGCAGGAGGTGCCATTAGCGAAAGTGTGCCTCAGGTTAAGAACGGTTTCGGGTTACAAACGGACCTCCAGAACAAATTAAGTTTGTAACCAGAGGTACCGCTGTAGCTGGGCAGCAGACTGAGCAGCCACAATCTCTAGAGCCACATCTCCCGCACGCTATGGGGAAATGTATTTCTTCTTAAATTACAGCCAGCATTATAATTTAATTCCCAAACATAATTTCCAAGTTTGAACCTATCTGTATAAATCAGGGTCCTTGCAGGGGCTTGATGTGTAGTAAGTGGTCCCTCTAAGAGGAGTCCTGGGTTGATCAGGCTAAAAGCCCATCTCATCCAGCACCCTGGGAGGAATTCATTGTAGCTCTAACTTAAAGGATCTCAGTTGTGTACCAGTTGCACTAGCAGAATGGCTTGCACAAGACAAGGCACAGGAAGAGGAGGGGCAGGCCCATCTGGCTCAGTGTTGCCTACACTGACTGGCAGTGGCTCTGTAGGATTTCAGACTTGAGTTCCCTCCCAGCCTTACCTGGAGATGCCGAGGATTTAACCTAGGAGCTTTTGCATGCAAAAGAGATGCTCCCCCACTGAACTAGTTCCCTTTCCCAAATGTGAGCCACCAATGCATTTTCATTCCATGTTTGCTTGCATTTTTGCCTGCATGTTTGCCTGCATTTCACACATGTGCAGCGAGAACCTCTGTACAGAAACGACACAGATTCCTGTGTGAATTCCCGGGAGCAGTTATTTGCATTGTTAGCAAATCTGCTTCTTGCAACCCGCCCTTTCTTCCTTCTTAGCCAATATTTGATCATCTCCCCATCGCTGCTGATAAATTACTATGATATTTAAAGATCTTCTTGAGCTTTGCTGAGCGATGCCTCTAAGTGGCTTGAGAGTGGAGATTTTGCTTTGCAGTACCACTCGTCATCTTCTGGTGGGTAAAACTCTTTTCCTTTTTAAAAGCCGGAACCTTGCAGAGTTTCCTGCAGAAGAGGGGCGAAAGGCATTAGCTCTGCATTTAAAATGAAGCAGATTTACAGTATATATCACAGAAATATAGAATGTCAGTAGCAGTCAGCAAGGACTCAAATGCCCATAATCTTTCTCTCTCTCTCTTCTTTCCGGAGTTTAGGACTCTATGATGCAATCCAAGCAGAGAGTTAAATCCTGAAACATTTTGGTGCTGCTCTAATTTGGGTTCATCATTATGTAAAAAATGGTTCAATTCCAGTATATTGTTATGAGTTTTGGCAGGGGGGAAGGGCTAGGCTGAATGCCTGGGCCCCCTTCTAATTCCTAGATCCAACATTGAGTCAAGGAATAGCCAGGCCAGCCTGGGAGATGGATCGCTAAGAGACTGATGGAAAGGGGGCTCTATGCCAGATGAAAAATGGATGGAGCCCCTCCAGCTCTTAGATACCGTATTTTTCGCCCTATAGGACGCACTATTCCCCCTCCAAAAATGAAGGGGAAATCTGGGTGCGTCCTATGGGGTGAATGCAGGCTTTCGCTGAAGCCTGGAGAGCGAGAGGGGTCAGTGCGCACCGACCCCTCTCGCTCTCCAGGCTTCGCGGACCTCTCTGCAAGCAATGGGAGCGCTCCCGCTGCTTGCGGAGAGTTGCCGGCATGCCGAAGCCTGCGCGCGCTGAGATCAGCGCGTCCAGGCTTCGCGGACCTCCCCGCAAGCAGCGGGAGCGCTTCCGCTGCTTGCGGAGAGTTGCCGGCATGCCAAAGCCTGCGTGCGCTGAGATCAGCGCATCCAGGCTTCGCGGACCTCCCCGCAAGCAGCGGGAGCCAGCGCTGGGCGCCCACGGCTTGCAGAGAGCTGCCTGTTTGGGGGCTGGGGTCGGGGGAAGCTCAGGCCTCCCCCGCCCCAGCCCCGCGCCTGGGGGGGAAATAATTCCCCCCTTTATTTCCCCCCAAAAAACTAGGTGCGCCTTATGGGACGGTGCGTCCTATAGGGCGAAAAATACGGTAGTTAAACGGACAAAGCCTAAGTTTGAGGGCAGAGTTTGCTGTGATGTGGCCTAGAGGAAAAAGCTGCAGGGTGGAGAGAAAATCCAGAACAGATTTAGGGGGTGCAATGCGGGTGTTCTGCTGTGCAAGTAGGAATCCTTGTGTTGATGGAAGAGGGGAGTTAGCACTACATTGGATTCCACCCTAAATATTTAACTTGAGCTACTGCATTTAATAATAGAGAGGAAGAAACACAGACCAAACTGGACATGATGAAGGTAATGTGGCCATTGGACTCCTCTGTCTGGCCCTTGGGACCCTTCAGTCCTTCCTCTAGCTCTTTTGCCTGATTGAAATGTGTCCTTGAACTGTGACAATGCCTCTTGTTTGCCTGGATGCTGTGATGTGTGGGGGGTGTGTGGATGGAGTGTGGCCTTCTGCACAAAAGTAAGAGTCAAATCTGGAATGCCTTCCCTCAGGTAATTTGTGAGGTGGAGACAGTAGTGGCCTTTAAGAACCTCTTAAAAACGTGTGTTTACCCAAGAAGCCTGTTCTTGCACCCTGACACCTAAGTCTCCATTTCGTAAACATCTTGGCTTTATGGATGACATAGTTTTCAGCTGTTTTCAGCTAGTTTTTAAAGAAAGTTTTATTGATTGCCATTGTATTCTTTTTAAAAAAATGTAAACTGCTTAGAGATTTTCAAAAAAATATTATTCTCAATAGTATTATACAAAAAGAAAAGTCCCAAATAGACTTAGCTAGAGTTGGGAAGGCCTGGGGAAAACCCAGAAAAATAGGGAAAAAACCCAGGTTTTTTTCTGGGAAAACTGAAAAAAAAGTACAGTATATGGAATATTCAAACTATATCAAACTGTTGTTGTCCCCCCCCCATTTTTTTCTGGAAAAAATGCTTTGGAAGAAACCCTGGTTCTCCCGCCCCGCCCAATTTTTTTGGTTTTTTTCCCAGGCCTTCCCATCTCTAGACTTATCACGATAAAATACGAAGAGGTAAAATCAGTTAAAAGTCATTTTTTAAAAAAATTGTGAAAACAATGTCCAGTACAAAATTCCTCAAATGCTTATTGAACTTTACAATAAGAGCAACAAGTCCTAAAATGTTAAGCAGCACACATATTTCCAAATAAATAAATAAATAGGCTGTTCTGCCCCCCCTGCCTTTAGCTCCACCTACTTTTGCCTTTGGCTCCACCTATCACTGGCATGTGACCCTTGGAAGGATTTCCATGAAGGAATGCGGCTCTTGGGCTAAATATGGTCTCCTACTCCTGGTATTATGACTTGGGTAGTAACTCTTGGCACCATAATAATGGTGTAAAGATTGTATTCCTGTTTTCATTCATGGAGGAGATGAGTGACAGCTGATGGAAATGGAATGCGGGAGAGGGTGGACCTTTGGCATGATCCAACATGGCTGTTCATTCAGAAGACCCTCTTGCTCTTCATGTCCACAGTGACTAGGGTGGGATAACAACAACAACATAGCACTTGGTTGCACAAAACTGTTTCTTTGGCACTCAGAATTCCAGGCACAAATATTTTTCGTGCGCCTGCTGTGTGCCTGCAGAACAGTAACACAGATTGGGCCCTCCCCACCCTCATGTTGGGGGGCATTGTGTCACAGGAAATGAGCGAAAGGAGAGTAAACTCTCCAGGCACCAAGGGGAGGATAATGTAATGCTTCCCTCAGATCAATGTGGATTTTGGTTTGCGAGTTATTAGGCCAAGGTCATAAACAACCCCTGTGACCACAAAAGTAAAATAAAACAATAAATCTCGGGTTTATCTCCTCTGCTGCCTTTTCACTACTACTTCTTATTTTTCACACACACACACACCCTTTGAACCAAAAAACACCCTTAAGCATCTATTAAATATTGCAGAGGCCACACTTGTATGTGCGAAGATAGAGTCTGGAGGATTTGGACTATGAATGAGGATTAGGGTGACCATGTGCCCTCCTTTACAGAGGACAGTCCTCTCTTTGAAGTAGTCTTCTACTTGAAGGGCTGCATGGTCCAAGTCCTATTTATAAAGAACTATAAGAAGGGAGTGTGGAGTGGGACAAAGAGCTTGAATTAGTTGCCCATCGACAGGTTGCAGCACCTGGACAGCAGATTGAGCAGTCACACCCAGGCCACCAGGTCAGTCATCTTCACTATGGTGTGATGTATTGTCCTTCTATTTAAATAATTGTAATTATTTATAAAATTGCACTTACGCTACATACAGAGACACACACAAGCACATGGGTCTGCCACCCCTGCTTGTTCCATTCGCCAACCCTACTTGCCCCTTTGCCAACCCCCTTTCTCCACATCTGGCCAACTGCAACGTGACAACACCCTTACATTTGTATGTAGTCACCAATTTTATGCAAACAGATGCCCTCCGTGGTCCACTCTCTTGGCAGTCTAAGTGGCCACACTAAGGAGCTTTGAGCCTTTGATTTCCAGCATCTCCTTCAAATATAGAAAGTTGTTTCAGAGTAAATGGACCAAAGGCTCCATTCAAAGGAGGCTTGCTCTTTGCACTGGATCATTTACCGAGCTTTGAGGTCAGGGTCATCACCCTGATTCCTCTTCATTTAGGGCAAGGACCCAGGCCACCCCCTCAAGCCACACTTTCCCTGAGTGTTTTTGCCTGGCTGGAAGCTGCCCTTAAACTCTGAGAATGCTTCTTGCTTGACTGAATGGAGGATACTAAGTTGTGTGTGTTAGAAACTAGCTTACAGTCCTAAGGATAAAATTCACATTTATCTCACCTCTTTTGCATTTGGCCCCACCCACTATGAGGATATGGCCCCCAGAAGGTTGCCTAGTAGAGAATATGGCCCCCAGGTGGAAAAAGATCTTAATTCTGAGTAGACATGCATGGGATTGCATTTTAAGAGTGTCTGAATAAAGGAGGCAAGAGTGGGAGAGAAAAACCTTTGAATGTTGTGTTTATACACACGGGTTGTATGGAGTGTTAGAGGAGTGATAGTACCACTGGTGGGGGACACGTCACGTTTCTTCTGGGGTAGTTTGGCCAATTTTGGTCCCCACCCTGCACTCAGCTCTCACTTGAGGCTCCTAGAAGTTGTCAGCATGCAACAGTGGCCACACCTGGGAAATGGCTATCTGACTGGCTAAACCAGGTGAGGGTAGCCGATGCGTCTGAAACCCTTGGTGAATTAGGAACTTCCCCTGCATGTGAAGACAGGCTCTGGCAGATTGAGCAGATGAGACCAATACTGGGTCCAGTGTTCAAGAAGGTGGTTTATGCGCATGCTGTAGAGGGAAGTGACGGGCAGTTGGGGCTCGTCAGCATGAGAAGGTAGTCCATCTAGGAAAAGAAAGACTCTGATCTTAAACCTCTGCTGCCTTGTGGGATATCTTTGGGAGAAGAAAAGGCTAAGGAGTAAACCCTACACAAATCTGGTGTGGAGTCCCTAAGACAGTTGGATGGAGCCTTGTACGCCTTCTTCTGTCAACTCCTGCAGCCAAGCTGGTGCCAAATGTATTGCTCTGCTTTCCTTTGGTCCACATCAGGAAGGCCAGGTCTTGTCATCTGGGCATCCCAGGACCTCCATACTCACTGCCCAGGCTTGCAACCCGGGGAGGTCACTTCAGTGCTGCTATCACAGCGCTTTGACTCCCCCTGCCCCAAGAGGCGCACTCCATTGTCGCTAAAGACAGACAGATGCCAACAGCAACATGAGACATACTGTTCTGTGAACTCAGCCTTTCTGTGCCACCTGTTAATGTGTAGCTACTACTCTTGGTGCAGCACATTCCATAAACTGACAGCAATCATTTGTTTGTGCCAAACGAAAACTTATTCTAATGGATCACTAGAGATGGGAACCCACACACTGTCCAAAGGGCCACCTCCCCCTGGCCTGTTCTAATGGCATATAAGAGCTAGTTTGTGAACTTCTCCCTCCTGCCCCCTACCTTGCTCTGCCCCTTTTCTTGAAAATATGACCACATCATTTACTTTCCTGCTTGGGCACAAGGCAGCTTTGACAAAAACGATTGAGAGCGAGCGGAATGCAGCATTAAAACAACAACAACATGCATTTTAGTTGCCACAAAACTGAACTGAAAAAAACAAAGACAAAACAGCACCTAACGATTGCTCTCTTTGCATTTGTGTTTTCTACCAATATCTATGTCAAAAACACACTCTAGTTGTCAATAAATATTAAAAAGACAGCTGGGGGCCAGCCACTAGCTTCCATGCAGCTTCTTTAAAAATGGGAATTGACTATGATTGATCATTTTTGCTGAGAGAGGAGGGGCCCCTTCTTGTGGCCCAGTCTGGGTACCTGAAATTCATGATGACTGAAAGTAAAATTTCACTTCCACGAAGCAGCTTTTGAATTTCTTGAACATCTGGGAGTCAGTGTCCTACAGGTCACATGTGAAGAGCAAATGGACCTCTGTAAATGCATTCCAGTTCCCCCTGTTTCACAGCAACAATTTCCTATTTCCTTGCACTTGTCCCTGGTAAAACACTGTTCCTTTTTTGCTTTTAGGAGAGGTGTTGGGTACCTCTGCTTTTGCATCTTGTTTAGGGACTGGCAGATCTGTCACAGGTGGTAGACCGAGGACTTTGAATGGGACTTTGAGAGCTGGACACCAGGTTTCCTCAATGTAGCCAATCTGCAGTAGATAAGGACCCTCTGCTACACTCAGATGGCCTTCAAGTCTACCCACTGAAACCAATGAGTGCATGGCACTTAAATTCCTTTGGTGAGATGAAAATAAGCGTGCCTGCAATGGTGTGAGTTGGTACAACTGCATATCTTTGGAAGCTGCAATTTGGAGTGGCTGTTTTTAAATGCCATCCCTTATGCAACACAGAGCCTCCAGATTTCAGTTCTTGTATGCCTCTTTGCAAGTGATGACATGTGCCGGTGCTACAGTGGGAAGAAGATGGGGAAGTCTGTCCCATTCAAGCAACAGTCTTTCATTCAATTAAATGAAGCCCCCTGCCCTGGATGCTTTTGACTGAGTTCATTAAAACAAAATGACTCTTTCTGGATGTGCTGCTCATTTGCTAACATTGATTCCTTAATCACATTTGACCCTCTACCCTAGACTCTCCATTTCCTTTAACAGACATACATGGTTATGATTCTTGTTCTGGTGAAGTAATACTCTGATAGATCACCTGATAGGCAGAGCAGGGAAGCGGCTGAAAGGGAAAATAGCCTTTCCCAAATGATACAAACATCCATGCAAATTTATTGGCATCTGTTGGCGATACCAAGTGTTTGTTTGGCAGAGAAACTGACTCTTCATGTGGAGATCCTTGCACGCAGAGATCCTTCTGTATCAGCCTTCACCGGCCTGGCAGTGGGAGGTGTTCCATCAGGGAAAATGGGGCACTGCTTCACCAACCTCATTATTAATTCCTCTAAGCCTACCTGCCTGTCTTCTTACTCATAAGTAGTCCGGTGACTGGACCTATGTGCTTGCCTCCTTCTCCTTAGCCTCAGTGTTGGCTTTGTAGAACTCTCAGAAGAAGGATGGGGATAAAACTAGAATTAACAGACAAAAACTGGAATGTCTCATTATGTCCAGCCGTACCTACTCTTGGGCTCCCTGCCTTCTGCCTCACCAGGCCCAATGGGCACCAGTCACTTCTGATACCTGGTGCCCTCCAGATGTTTCAGACTACATTTCCTAGTCCCAATGTATCTAGCTAGCATGTGGTCCAAACTGGAGTTGCAGTCCAAAACATCTGGTTGGTGACAGCTGATATACATATTGTTATGAGTTTGGTGGGCTCAGTCTGGATGATGCCTCAAGTTCCTTCCGGTTCTTGAGATTCTATATCTTTGGGGGTAGACTGTATCTGAGCCAGCTTGCCAAACCAGTTCCTTTGTCTAGGTAACAACTTTGGTTGCCGAGTTAAGTGCCACGATTGGCAAATAAGATACTTTTTGCCATACAACAAATGGGTGGGCATTTCCACCCCTCACATAACTGCTAGACAGGAGAACAAAAGCCAGAGACTGGTATGCGTGAGCTGAGCAGGAAGCAGGCTGGAGACACAGAGACATGCTTGCTTTGTGCTGGATCCAAAGCTGTGACTAATGGAGAGACAATATCTTTTGGGGTGTTCATGCTGTGAGCCCCTCCATCCTATGCTCAGGTTGTATATACGGTACAGTGGTGCCCCGCAAGACGAATGCCTCGCAAGACGGAAAACCCGCTAGACGAAAGGGTTTTCCGTTTTTGAGCTGCTTCGCAAGACGATTTTCCCTATGGGCTTGCTTCACAAGACGAAAACGTCTTGCAAGTCTTGCGATTTTTTTTCGCTCCCCCCCCCCTTTTTCTAAGCCGCTAAGCCGCTAATAGCCTTTTAGCCGCTAAGCCGCTAATAGTGCTAATCCGCTAAGCCGCTTATAGGGTTGCTTCGCAAGACGAAAAAACCGCTAGACGAAGAGACTTGCGGAACGGATTATTTTCGTCTTGCGAGGCACCACTGTATGTGTAAACAAAGCCATATATTTTAAAGAAACCACTGAACTCTGGGCAAATACTGGAATCCCTAGAATATCTTACTGCTTGGAGATTGGGGTGGTGTGTAACAATACAGTGGTACGCTTCAGGTTACAGACTCCACTAACCCAGAAATAGTATCTTGGTTTAAGAACTTTGCTTCAGGATAAGAACAGAAATTGCATGGCGGCAGTGGGAGGCCCCATAAGCTAAAGTGGTACCTCAGGTTAAGAACAGTTTCAGGTTAAGAACAGACCTCCAGAATGAATTAAGTTCTTAACCCAAGGTACCACTGTATATGCTTCCCAGGAAGGCTGAGTCACTGCTTCCTGAGCCGTTATTTGGAGGAGGGGGACTGCAGGAAGTTCGGGATGTGACTTGAACACCGTAGACCCAAGGGCAGAGGAAGGGGGCGGTGGGGGTGGTCTGCCTCGTGTGTCATCACTGAGGGGGTGACATTCGGTGCGCTGCCTGCCCATGACTCCCAAGCCTACCCTGAGCTATCGGGGAAAGGGGCGGAGCTGTGCTGCCTTGCCTTCCCCCTTTCCCCCTTCGTTTTGACAGCTCGGGGAGGCTTGGGAGTCGTGGGCGGGCAGCGCACTGTTGCCCCCCACTCCCGGGCAGCTTCCTGGGGGGGGGTGGGAAGCCTCCCCTGACCTGTCAAAAGGAAGAGGGAAGGGAGGAAGGCTGCTGGCAAAGCGGCACGGCTCCTTCTCCCCACCCAGGAAGCCATGGGCAGCTTGTTCCACCCCCATGGGCATCTTGCCCCCTGGGACGCTCACCGCGGGCAGTACCCCCCCGGGACACTCGCCCTGCTCCCATGGCCCTGCCCCCAGGTGCACAGCATGCTGGAGCAGCTAGTCTGCCTCTGTGTAGACCAGCATCCTCTTGACCCTGGCTGAAATCATGTGATTCTGGAAGGCCAATCCTACGCTAATGCCTGTTTGTAGCTCCAGCATCTCCTGCACTCTGCCGTTATTCCCAGTAGGCTATTCCCAGTAGTGGTTGGTGCAGTGGCACAGCCCTGGACCTCTCTTGTATTGCTGCTTTCCTAAATATAAATGCAGGGTTTCTAAATCTCAGGCTTTGGCACCAAAACACAGGTTTCGGAGTCCATTAGCAGGGCCTTATCGTTTTGTTTGATCTAGATGTTTTGCAAGAGAGGGAGAAAGAGAGTACAGGTAACTACTACTCTCTATCTCCATCCACTCACCATTCTGAAAGAGCCACTATTGCACAAGTGCCCCCCCAACCCCCGACAGTGTTTCACAGTCGTTAAATGGGAAATCGCATGTGGCTGGAGGGGAATTTTGCAATGAAAAAACCCAACCCTGCCTTTCTCCTGAACTTTCCAGTCCCCATTCTACTTCACCACTTTGCCAACCCCTGGATTATATCTCTGAAAAGAAAAAGAAATGGCAATCCTGTGACTTCAGAAGGTTAGGGGTCTTTGAAGAGTTGGATCTTTGTGAGTTTCTGCATGAAACGACCTGATCTGCAGCTCTTGGACTAATGCGTGCTTCCCATTTTAGCTGCTTACCAGGAATGCACTTCTTGGAATGTTGTGTCATCATCCTCAGCAGCTTAAGCATACGAAAAATTAGATTGTTATCTTGAGAGAAAACACACATCTAAATAATATTTAAATACATATTAGGTACATACATAAAAACATATTTAAATACATATTTTGGAAGGGGTGTAGCTCAGTGCTAGAATGTCTGAGGAACAAGGACATGTGAGCATAATACACATTTCAAGGAAGCTCAGTGGCAGAGCATCTGCTTTGCGTGCTGAAGGTCTTGGGTGCAAATCCTGGCATCTCCAGGTATGGCTAGGAGAGACCCCCTACCAGGAACTTCAGATCCACACCGTACATTCAAAGCATATTTGCATCACTATAACAGATACGGCTTCCCCCTGGACCCTCACAGATACCTTTGCCTGAGCCTGAAGAACCAGATGCTTCCTGCACCTGTCCAGTAGTGCTGGGGGCATACCAGGATGGGGGCTATGGACTGGAGAAGAAGAGTTTGGATTTGGATTTGATATCCCGCTTTATCACTACCCGAAGGAGTCTCAAAGCGGCTAACATTCTCCTTTCCCTTCCTCCCCCACAACAAACACACTGTGAGGTGAGTGGGGCTGACAGACTTCAAAGAAGTGTGACTAGCCCAAGGTCACCCAGAAGCTGCATGTGGAGGAGCGGGGACGCGAACCCGGTTCACCAGATTACAAATCTACCACTCTTAACCACTACACCACACTGGCTTCCATCTTCAGGCCAAAGGCTTGGCCATGGAAGGCTTTGAAGTTCTCTCAAGAGAGTGGACCTGGACGAGGGAGCTTGGAGACAACATTTGTTGGAGCAAGTTGCTCATTTGGAGCTGCCTGTGGTCCAGCAGCTTTCCTCCAGCCTTCTCTCTGGGTTCTAGCATCAGCATGGCAGCTGGCCTTGCATGCAACGCACGTGGACTTGAGAGGGGTATGAATTGTTTCTTGCTTCATACTGGGCCTCTAGATGTCTAGAGAAGGCCCTAATGGGAGGAGACAGCCTTTGAAAAGTAACAGTCAATAAGATTACTTTGGGGGTATATCAGAGATAACCAAACAAATCCAGGACTACAGTCCACCAATAAATCAAATGCACACCAAAGCTATGAGTTGATCACTTATTTATTTCATGTATTAAAATATTTATAACCTGCCCCTATAGCACTTGGTCTCAAAGCAGAGTCCATAATTCATTTTAAAATGTCAATTCATTATATGAAATAAAGCACATAAAATGATGAATAACCAACCAG